TCCCTCGTCTATGTTGTAGTTAGTGTCCGGTAACGTGTATCCCTCGTCTATGTTGTAGTTAGTGTCCAGTAACGTGTATCCCTCGCCTATGTTGTAGTTAGTGTCAGGTAACGTGTCTCCGTCGTCTATGTTGTGGTTAGTGTTCGGTAACGTGTATCTCTCGTCTATGTTGTAGTTAGTGTTCAGTAACGTGTATCCCTCGTCTATGGTGTAGTTAGTGTTCGGTAACGTGTCTCTCTCGTCTCTGTTGTAGTTAGTGTCAGGAGGATAAGGCAAACTAACGGTAGGTCCTGGACCATCTATAGGAGTTGTAACAGTACCAAATGTAATGACTCTTTTTTGTCAACAGGAATTTAAAATACACATTAAGATGTTCGTCATGCTCCATTCGGCTTAACCATTAACAGGATGAATTAACTGAAAAATAAATAAATAATACAATTATTTATTGAAGCGGTGTTATGCTGCTTGTTATTTTTATTGAATTCCGAGGTTGACGACCCTTTAAATAATTGAGAGTTGGCCAGTATTCTTAATAATGATTAAAGTACATGTATGACTAGTATGTGCCTCCTTTCCATTAAAGGGATATGCATCAAAGGTGCTTGACACAATTTGGTAACGACGTCATTTTACCGAGAGAGTGAATACAGTTCATGATTTATATAAAATATTATTTAAAAACCGGTCGCATTTTTGTTTTCTTCAAACATTTATTTTGACAATGCAATTTTGAATAAGCTTTCAACAGTTTTCTGTGTTAAAGTGACAATCGTAGCTTCTCTAATATTACATAAAATATAAATATGTAGATACTAAATAATATGGATTTTGCTATGAAGGCAGATTTCGTCTTAACGCCAGTTTTCTGGCTGTAGTTATATGTGTGCGTCATAAATTCATCTAATGATTGATACCCACTCTGATTTCAATTTGCTGTATATTAAGCTCAAAACTGCTACCTCCGGTTTCCTCCTACACAAACAAGAGTAATTCATATAAGTTGGACTAATTTGTTTCATAATTATTGTAAACTAAATAGTATTCCATAAATTCCGCCACTACCCACGACACCAGTTTATCAGTTTCGTTGTGTTGATATGTTAATCGCGGGCTTCAATATCTGCCACAGTTTGAATGGTTGTAAACATAGGAACCTTCTCGCCGGGAAGCGAACACGGTGGATATATCCGATATATAATCTACAAGTTTTGACCAACAGGCAGGTTTTATAATTTACTCCAATGTTTACAAATTTCAATAATTTATGCTATTCAATCAATACAAAAACAATCATCAGCTTCACGAAAGCTAGACCTGGTGCAAGTCTAATCGCTTTCAGTGCAAAGGATAAAGGTCAGATGAAGAGTTTCGTTGTTTATGAACGAAAATGCTGATGAGCCGCCTGGGATTTGTACTCGCATGGTTTCTGTTATGTGAGTTCACAGTAAGGCACATCATTTATGCTTAGCCTACTTTTGTCAGTTTGTGTTTGTGTATAAATATCTCTCTAATGACGACACGACATAAAAAGAAGACGTACAGAACTTACTACTTTAAATTTTACGGACTTTAAGAAAAAAACATAATATTATGATCTTTCGACATGTTAATTTCACTGAAAATGCCAGGTTGAAGAAGAACTAAATTACAATTATACCTTTATTCCATGCATATTTGCCACATCGTGACATTTAAAGTATTTAAATTGTCAGAAGTTTTACCAGAATGTGAAAATGTAGAGACATCTGAGGTTTTCACTTGGTTTTTGATAAATGGTATATTCTGGGGTTTGTCTTTTACAGACTTTTGTACCAAATGAAGTTTGTTTATCGAGTTTAATTAATGCCTTTCAGTCTCAATGTTAGTGATAAGGGTGGACTAAGGGACATAACTGCTACAGAGATTCTCAAAATAGACCAGGAAGTATTCGGGTAATCGTTAACAAATTGTACACCAGTTGTGTGAGCATCGACCTGGTCAGTATGACACTGGACAGACGATTACAGTGTTTGTTATGGTTGTACATCACAACACTTCAAGGTAAGATTACTTATATAATGTGAAGGGTGAGTAAACATATCACAACTGGCAATAAATACAGGTACCCTACTTCCTTGTAGCTGGTGCATTAAATTACATACATATACCTTCAATGGTATGATTCTGTAATAAAATAAAATACCTACTATGGAAGTTTATTGAACAACACAAATGTATATATACACTCCTTAACTAATGATATGCTGTGCGCCTCAACGTTATGCTCATATACTATGTTTTTTGTTCTCGTACATGCTACTGTCTTTGTCATACGTTCCTGATTGTGCGCTCTATACATAGAAACTCGTGTTATGGATTTATTCCCATAAATAGTAATAGATGTCACTGATTGTAAATCGCGAAAACAGAAAACCGTTTAATTTATATATCGTGCCTTTATTATATAGTGGTCCCTTATTAAATTGAGTAAGGCAAAAGTTGCTAACTGTTGGAAACTAAGTTGGTAGTATATACATGTATTAAAAAAAACACTTGATCAGAAATTACTACATTTTTAAAATCTCAAGGATATCCTGAAAATATTGTTGAAAAAGGTAAAAGTATGGTAATTGAAAAGGGATATTTTACAGCCCGCACTCTTGTTGTAGATGATGTGGCTATGATGCCATTTGTTTCTACTTTCAACCCTCGTAATTTCAACATATTTCCAGTAATCCGGAACAGATGTGAAGATTTGATACGAGGTAGCGAACGTATGAAAAAAGTTTTGGATCGTTGTGCTTTAACAAACAGCAAAAGACAACCAACAAATCTATGTAGGTCAGCTACTGCTATTCATTGCCGCAATGTGCATGATAACAAAATTCATTCAATTCATATATTTACGTTACGATGAACTACAATACAAAATGTTCAACATTTTTTGTAAATGTAATGAGGTCATGGTATATTATGACGTCACAATACTGAACCTACCAAAATTGACGCCGAAATTAACAATGCACTCTAACCCTTTGCCGCGTGCATTTTACGTTATAAGCCTTTTTGTGCCGCCAAGGCCGATCAGATTTGAACTTCAGTGTTGACGTCATAATGGGATACAAGTATGACGTCATGACCTTTATTTCAACCCCATGAAACCTTTTTTTCTAAAACCATCTATCCTAACCCTTTTTTCTTTTCATTTCTTTTGATCATGTGTCATTTTAAACATATTTTTGAAATTGAAATTTCTATGTCATGACAAACTAGCTTCAGATCATTTTCATCTACCTTAATATCTACTTTAAATGTTACAGAACGAGAATGTACAGTATGGCAATTACAGGACGGGCTGTACCGTGTGACGTTAACAGGACGGGAATGTACAGTGTGGGAATAACAGGACGGGACTGTACAGTGTGGGGATGACAGGACGGAACTGTACAGTGTGACAATTACAGGACGGGACTGTACAGTGTGGGGATAACAGGACGGGAATGTACAGTGTGGGGATAACAGGACGGGAATGTACAGTGTGGGAATAACAGAACGGGAATGTACAGTGTGGGAATAACAGGACGGGAATGTACAGTGTTGGAATAACAGGATGGGACAGTAGAGTGTGGGGTTTGCAGGAGGGGACAGTACAGTGTGACAAGTACAGGACGGGATTGTACAATGTGACGGGAGTGTACATTATTGCGATAACAGGACGGGACAGTATAGTGTGGGGTTTGCAGGAGGGGACAGTACAGTGTTACAAGTACAGGACGGGATTGTGCAGTGTGACGGGAGTGTACATTATTGAGATAACAGGACGGGACTGTACAGTATGACGACTACAGGACGGGACTGTACAGTGTGACAATTACAGACGAATGCATTACTTATTTAGTTCTGACTTAAAAAAGAATGGTTTGACAACATAATTCAGGCATGCATATACATGTTGGAAAATTTCAAACAACTCTCATACTTTGGTTTTCCCATGAAACCTTTCAAAACGTCTGGGCAAGCAAGGTCTTTAGCGTATAATCAGCTCCAACGAAAACAGTAGACAGAAATACCCAATAGGTGATGCATCTCTTCCTGGCATATTTTTCGGATTACTCATGATCTATAGGTTCTGTTGGAAGAACCATTATTAAGATGATGTCACAACTCTGATGATGTCATACTCGTCACCTCAAATTTAGCGGTATATTGTAAAACACGCATTAGGCGGATAGATACCGGGGCCAATGAGGTCAGAATCCCTCTTATGAAAAAAAGAGGTAGAGAAGTTCAGTGAAAGAGATATTTCCTCCCACGCAAGACAAAATCAGTGCCAGACTAGATGAAATATCAGAAACGGTACAATGCGTAGTTATATAAATTGCGTGGTCAGTGTGTGTGAAATTAGCTGACTGGTTGCATGAGCATCGTTGTCTTCATGGTCTAATGACAGTTGTTTACAGTTGATATATTCATGTAGAAAACAAACATCAATAATGTAAATATATAATAAATTGTGCATAGCATGTGATTGTTCACAGTTCACACAAGAAAGTAAAGTGGTGTTAACCAGTGAACGCTCTGATCAGGTTATTTAATAGAAAACATTACTTACTAGAAAGATGGACAATATTACAAATCTGAGATATGCTTTTGATTATAGATTTTAACGTAAGTCAACATATGGTTGCTTGCTTGAATTTATGTATGAATACATGTACGTACTTTAACTGCTGAGAGACATACGTATACCGATCAGTTACATGTATTGTTCACATACTACAGTAACGCTGAGTATAGGTTCGTCAACCTTTAATTTTGATACTTTATTTAAAAGTATTAACGTCCAGTACAATTAGAATGTGACATATAACCTTAAACAGCCGTAAGCCAAGATATGTTTAATTGTGGTAAAAGTAGAGAGAACATGCAACCAATCTCTGTACAACAAACTTACAATAACTGTTATCTCAATTAACGTCGACAATGACTATATATATATATATATATATATATACTCAATATTCACACAGACCAAACTAACTCTTAACCCTCTACTCGTGCCGAATTATATTCACTAAACATAGTAAAAGCATACCATACTTTTGATCATCGCTTTTCTCATCTGTACAGGTGCAACTGGATTATCCGTGGTGGTCAGTCCAAGTCCTACAGTCCAGCTCGTGTCCGGTCAGACCCTCTTTATCACGTGTCAGTGGTCAGCTGACTACACAGGATCAAATGCTGCTGTTAACTATCAACTAAATGATGGTGGAGGTAGAATAGGTACATTGACTATAAACTTTGGGACAGCATGCCCATCAATATCACCCTACACACTAACATGTAACAGAGACACGAGGACACTGGGGATACAGATTCCCGCCAGCAATTACAGTCACGGGGACAGATGGACGTGTGAGGGGAGAAATAACAGCTTTGACAATACAACACCACCACAGACCGACACGACGACAGTGGACGTTACAGGTGAGTGTAAAATGTTTATGACAGAATACACAGATTTGCAAATAAATTGGGTAGAGTATGTATGAACTGTGCATTTACTTGTTGAGTATACATGTTGGTGGGCTACGTTAATGTCATTTACGTATGGTGATTACTTGGGGAAAAGGTACCATGTCTATAGTTTTCCTGTGAAACATTAACATATGGCTTTTTTACATTATAACTGTTCATATTTATTTTGATGTGTTAACATTTGTATAGCATTGTCACTAGATAACCTATTTGAAAGTTGTGTAAGTTGTGTCGTTGATGGGACTTTAAATGCCATGTACCACGAGACACAATACTTAGCATATTAATACAACACAGACAGGAACTCAATATCCGATGTAAACAAACATGACGGTTGCTGAAATATCGCAGGGCATTGTGAGACTTGACAATGTAATTGTAAATGTGTAAAAAAAAAACGAGAACATCTTTTTAAAATACTTTTATTACAATACAAAAAAACAAAAGTCTGCAAAATCGTACAAAATACATCGGATGAAATAATCTATGAAAATAATTTACACACTCATACAATTTATCAGAAATATCCTCTGTAACACTGCACTGATCCAACCAAGCCAGAATCAAACGATTTTTGCCTGTCTCTGTTTGGATTTGCGCGGCTTTTTTTGGTGATGAATTATCATCTAGCGTGAATGAAACTAGCACGCGTTATGGTGTTTGCTTACACAGAGAGATATCACGTTATTAGGAAGCTCTCATCTTGGTGTTCACTGGAACATTAAGTTTGACACATTTGGAATCAAGATCAAAGAGTTGGATACAAAATGCACAAGGCAAATCGTTTTGAGTTTCACACACTTAGTATATAATCCTTTTTCAATTTGTGTGTCCATTCGTTCTTCAATATAAGCTGAATTTTCAGTCAGAGTGTAAGATGAACAAAGAAATACTTGGATGACGAAAGCAAATAATATTGATGAAATGGGTGAGTTTTTGAGAGAGATCGTTGTCTCACACCGGATAATTTCGACTCTGGAGTTAAATTAGAGCTTTATCATTTTTTCGTCTAAAGAAGTACGCATGGAACGGTTCGTACATTCAAGCTGTGAAGTCAATCAGTATATTCACTGTTTATTCTTCTGGAAAATCTTTGGCTGTGTCCGCGGTACGAGTGAATATTATCCTGAAAATGATGAACTGATTTTTTTCTGTTGACAAAAACTTGTTTAGGACAGAAAGTATAATCGTGCAATACATCAAAACCAAGAAACGGCATTTCCACATATACACGATGGGTCTTCTCCTGTAGGAGTTATATGGAAAGCAAGTGAATCTTGCTGATAATGTTTTTCGAGGGTTAAATTTGTCTGAAATGGTCACCAAGGAAAGATGGAAACATGGGCCAGAATTATTGTCAAAACACGAGTCAGAATATTCAGGGCGTCCAACGTGCCTGGAACTATCGAGAGTTGTTAAGGAAATAAAACCATGTGTTGTCAAAACAGAACCAGCGGATGAACCAATTTGACAGCGTTTCCCACTGATCGCCATGTACATAAACTGTGTAGTTAAACATTCTCTGATTAGATTTGCATCAAACAGATTCATGGCGAAATAATACCTCCTGTTTTGAATTGTACGACATGCTCAGCTTGCCAAATCTAAATACTGTTGGAACTTTCTTATAAACTAGTTGTATGGATATTAATGATTGGCTTATGAATTGTATGACATTTGGATTATATTTGCAACGAATGTGGTCCCAGTGATAATAAAGAAAGTTAGTGGCTGGTTGCAAAGGCCCTATTGCCACGGATACTAATTTATGAACCGCTTTGAGACGACCTACGAACTAAGTTGTGATGAAGCGGTATAAAAGAACCTCGAATTATTATTTATTATTATTATTATGCGGGATGGTGTTTCTAGATTGTCCATGTCATGTTTCCATACGCCGGCTAGGGAATGAGTAGTGGGCCAACTTTAGTGACGTAGTAGGAAATTGCAATTGTATGCGATGGACTATTTATCATTGAAAATGCGGTATAGTGTGAGCAGGAAAAATGAAGGGCCTTGCGGTGAATTGACTGTGTCGATTTTGTTGTTACGGTTCAGCACCCCACTTCCTGTTAATGAACCTAAGGGTACACACTGTAGGCATATTCATGTGACGAAAATAATTTAAATGTAAATCAGGTATGACGAATGCTAAACAGAAAAGTGGCAGCTGACAGCGTATTCGTCATTACCTGAAATGGAAAACTGTATACAATTTGTATATTATGGTTGTTGATATCTACGTGAAATCGATGTGTGTTCTTTAGCGTTACATTAATGTGCAGTATTGTTTACATCCCAGATCTATTACACATGCTATGAACCATATAATACGGTGTGCTCACCATGTGTGGACGATAAAAACTGGCGATGATACATTTTGTTTCACTCATTCCGTACCGCAACTCCGGTCTGGATTTCTTATCAAATGTCCTTACTAGACTCGCCCCTGCGCATATAACAAAATGACGAATTATTAATGTATGTTTCAGACGAGATGTAACAACTGCAAGAAGTAAATAGGTAACCGTGAACAAATGTTGTTACTGTTTCATGTTATTGTTTAAAGACATACATATATCCATATTTAGAGCATTTTGTCGACTAAATGGTAGCCGATTATCACTGAGAAGTCGACATTTGTCCGACAACGAACGATACGATTCCTTGTATTTAAAACAGCGTTGTAGTGCAGGTTCCCAATTGGGATTGATTTTGGTTACGAAAACGATACGTTTTTTCTTCTTCTAAAAACAAGTAGCTTGTATCGAGACATATATTAAAGTATTCATATTTACTTCCAAAAGTCTCAATAAATGATTGGTGATGAATTTACGAGTGTTCGTACCGAATTAAGTCGCCGTCATATTGTTTACATTGGAGACCACCAAATGTAAACATCTTGCGGGAATTTCAAAAACAAAGGTCACACGAAGAAAAATGTGTAACTGCACCTATAAAACAGTTCTTTACAACTAATGTGTGCTGATTTTAGCGACAATTAATTGGATTACACGAATGTAGTGTGCTATAACTAGTTAAACATAAGACAGGTAACACCAAATACTTTTGTCGTTTATACACAATAACGGGGACGAGACGGCATATATTTGTGTCGTCAGTACACGACAACTGGGACTAGGAAGCACATATTATTGTTGTGTGTACACGACAACGGTACGGAAAGGGTTGAAATAAATTTAAACAGGGTGGTTTTTAATCTTACAACCAAACTACCACACAATATAAACAGAAAATGTCAGCTAGCCTTAGTGAGGTTGTCCCAACACCGCCAACCACAAATCCGGAAAACACTTAAACCAGCAATTTTGGGTATGTGCACGTAGTTGTTAAATTTAGGTTCGTTCAAATATGACCGTTGAATGAAAAAGTGGAGGACATCCCGAAAGCTAACTTACTTATAGAGGACAATAATATGTTAACCATCAATGACTTCATCAACAGCAAATACTTATTCTGCACCGTGACATAATCTGAAAATAAAAGTTTACTACAACTGGATCAAATTTATATACGAACCTATTAAAAATAAAAATAAAAATATAAAAACTATTTGATGCCTAAAAATATATATATATAACCCAAAGCAATGAAGAGTCATGTGGTGGCGTCCCAAGCATAGATTATGCTAAATGTTTATCTATTTAGCAGTTTCTGTGACATCAGTGACCCTCAACCGCTCCACCACTGTGACTGTAGGTACCACACTGATGTGTCATTAACATTATATTTATATATTACAGTTCCTGTGACATCAGTGACCATCACCCCGTCCACCACTGTGACTGTAGATATAGGTACCAGCACCACGTTGACCTGTACCACACAGCCACACAGTCGTCCCAATGCCAATGTCACGTGGTACCGAGTGGTCAGTGGTCAGCCACAGCAGATCATCGCTAACATCAGTGTGTCACATGACACTCAGAACTCCGCCCAGACAACCACCAGTGCTCTGACATATGTACCGTCCAAGGAGGACAACGGACACACGGTGTACTGTCTATCAGACGGTGGATGGACAGGAAGTACTGCTACAAATCTACGGTCGGGAGATGTAATTCTCAATATCAGATGTAAGTATAAATTTTGGTTTGTTTTAGTTCTAACGTTATATTCGTATGAAAAATGTTGGACAGAAGTCGGGCAAGATTTCCCTTAATGTCAGATGAAAGTATAATTGTATATTCAACAAAATGGATGTTTAGCTTAAATGTGTCTTACTCGATTTGCTCACTGACCTAAATTCTGTTTCTCCTACTCATACAAAGTCGCATATACTTTGCGATACATTCGATTAAATGTTATAACGTATTGGTAGGTTGCTTTACGCATACTAAAGAAGCTATGTAATACTCCAATCGGATATAACTTACGTTCAATGTACTACCTATAGGTCAAATTTTGTGAAATTTTACTCGCCTGGGCAATATTCGTAAGTAAGTATTGATCTTCAAACTCACTTATAATATACCAGAATTCTGTGGTTAGGAGAGGTCATTTTCAGAGTCAGGTGACTTAGCTCTCCAGTCATCTTTAAATTGGCAGATCATCTTGTTTGGAAAAAATATTCATTACAAAGTACAATTCCACAGAAGTAATATATATGAAGCACATACATTTCAGCAGTACATGAAATGAACTTTATTTGATTATTTACGAAATAAATCAGAGCAGTATATTCCAACATAAGAATTTAAGAATCTTATCAAGGACACAGATTATACTCAGCGACATATTGCTGTTGGTAAAGGCGACTTATTTTCATTGAAATGTAATACTGAATTGTTTAAACCCTGTCTTTGCCAAAATATATACACATATCTATAGAATATACTTACATAAACGTGTACTTTTGAAAACATATGGTGAAACTCATTGAACATTCCAACACATCTAAACAGCGTCTATGCTTCTCTCCCCCCCCCCCCCCCCCCCCCCCC